AAAAAAAAAAAAAAGATCCTTTGCTTTCTTGCCTGCTCCAGGCCTTTGGTGCGTTCGCAGAGAATGGAGGCCTAAAGAAACGTAAAATCACACAAGAACAGTGGCATGAAATCTCATGCTACTGATCTCACATGATCCCATGGTACTTTAGGCCTCTGTTCTCTGAAACAGAGAAGACAACCAAAGCTGGAGGATGCTTCTGCATGTCTCCAGAGGCCGAATCTGGGTGTTGGAGGCCTTTTCCAGGCCGCTGCTGCCCAGATCTGAGGCTGGGGGATGCTTCCGTGGCTCTCCAGAGGCCCGATCCGGGCATCGGAGGCCTTTTCTAGGCCGCTGCTGCCTGGATCTGGAAAGAGCCTCCGACGCCCAGATCGGGCCTCCTTAGGCCGTGGAAGCGTCCCCCGGCCTCAGATCTGGGCGGCAGCAAGAACCGCGGCAGAGAGGAGACAGATCTTTTAAAGGTGAGTCCGGCACGGCAGGAAGGGAGGGGGAAGCATGAGGTATCTTAGTGGGTTGGGGAGGCCTTGGGGGGCTGTTCCATCACTAGGTCCTCCATGGCCTTCCCTACCTTGAGATACCACATGTGCGGTTAACGAACTGCACATTTGCCCATGCATTCTATTAGCAAATGTGTGGGTGAAAGCAGGGAGTGAATCACGTTCAAGGTACAAGATTCACTCTCACGAATTTTCGAGTTATGAATGGAATGGGCAGGCTCCATTACATTTGTAACTCAAGGACTACCTGTATTTGCAACAAAACGTTTGATGGTTCTGTGATCGCACCCCAATATCTTAGCAATTTCAAGAATTTCATCCCTCTGAAAGACTTTTTACAATATTTGCCTTTTCAGAGTAGTTAAATCTCTTTTTTGGTCCATTTTGCCTGAGGAAAAGAAGCTGCCTAATAATTATGCACACCTTGATATAGGATGTTGATCTCCTTAGGCCACACCCTCCCTCATTACACAAATATGCATCACCTGATATGCTTATATCCACTAAACATTCAAGTTTATACAGCTTGGAGGTGGAAAATATGCATGAAAATGATATGATCAAAATATTCACTTGCCTAATAATTGTGCACAGAGTATTACAGGTTTTTAGAAAGGGTGATGACATAGCTTTAGCTTTTAGTCAGACCCTTTCCCAAGTCTGGCTTATGCATTTTTTTTCTCTGTACAAGGAATAAATTGATGTAATGATACTGTTTTTTGTAGAAAAGGACTTATTTCAGAATTAAAATTGTAGCATACAAAGAATAAAGAAAATGTCGAAACCTTAATAATCCAGTGGTGCTAGATTACTAAAATAAAATAACACTAAAGGTTATTCTTCCAAATTGATACCATATTAAATGAATTCTACCAGTGAATTACAAGTCTAGACTTAACAAAAATGCAATTTTTTGTTATTGTGTTTTTATATTTCTTATTCACCTCTGAATAAACCCTACTTTATTGCAGTAAATAATTACAAAACAGTTCTGTAATAATAAATTATAATATTGCTTTAATCTAATTTATACCACATTATTAATCTATTTATAGCTCTTAGAATTTTGATATGGTCATTTTGACTTTAGTCTATTCCTGATAAACTAAATCAGAAATGTATAAAATGGTGTAGGTTATAATACCCACATTCCTTGTCATTGCCCATAACGGTTACAGGAAATATCTGAAAACTAATTACCTATTCCTGGTTTACATGATCATCTAAACTAATAACTTGTTAGGAAAAAATAGCAATAGTATTTTGTACTAATATTTATTACTAATAATATGAATATGTTCCTCTTGAAATTGCAGTCATTATTTGATGAAGTGTTTAAATAAATGTATGAGATGTCTTTCTCTGAAATATTTGTTGGTGACATAGTAAAATAAATCTAATCAAATATTTCATAGAAACAGAAGCAAATCCACCTTAGCTCAAAGGATTATCAGGACAGCCTGATAATATACTGCATGGAAAACCATAATTAAAACTGATATGGAAATAAGAAAGTGATTTGGAAAAAAATGATTGTAATATTAATGTAATACATAACTGATATTCAGATTCTTATATTTCTTATATCATTTAGGTACCAGATAAGAACTTGAAAACTATTTTAAAAACAGATACTAACTTTACTGGAAATACATAGATGAAATACATGGAAATACATAGATGAAAAATCCCAGATCTAAAAACACATTTTTTAAAAAATAAGATCTTGATATTTTCCTGGATATATTATTATTACATATTTAGAGTAGGACTATAATGACAGATGATACTGACCAAAATATATAAATATAAAATAGTAAGTTTCATGACATTCATGAGGAGTAATAAAAACTTACCTGTCTTACCCTTTTTTTTGAGCTCCCAACTCGGAATATGCCTACTGTCTGGAGACCTTTAAAATGGTATGTCAATTTAATAAATTATTATTATTACAAATTTATACAATTGCATATAAATACAGAATAAATTTAGAAGATTAGTAAAATATTTTGCATCACTATTCTGTATATAATTATGTAATATTTGTGTTTCTTATTCCTACCCTGTCAGAAAATAGCATAAATACAAAATATGTATACAGTTTAGGAGGAAATGTGTTCAGTGAAATCTGCTTCAGTAAAGCCTACTTATACACCATTATAGATTTTTTCAAAAAAATATAGGGCATTGTTCAAAAGTGACGCTAGAGGGAAGCCTAAGACCAATGGTGCTCATATAAAATTATGTAACACATTTATAAAAGGATGTTAGCCCTCAATTCACTTGTGTATAAAATTTGTATTTCTATATTCAAAAATACACATAGCTCTTGGTTAGAAATGCCCACAAATATTCTTTGTACCAGCTCAGATTTTATTTCCTACAAGAGGAATAGAAAGGATGAGAATAAGTATGGGCGTGAAATATTTAACCTTAGTTTTAGACTGCATGTAGCTTCCAGAGCCCTCCAGGCTTAGACACCAAAACTCAGCAAATTGGTAATCCAATGCTATGATTTTTCTTTGAATTTGAGCATAGTGTGCTAACCCACATTAAAATTACTAATATCCCATCTCAAATTTTAATCTCAGTTACATGCAGGAGATTATTTTAAGAATCTAAAGGCTTATTACAGCTAAGTTCCTGGAACAAGTAAAGCCAACAATTTGATTTCTTTGCCTGTCTCCCAATATACAATATAGCCCTATATCCTACAACAGTTGACTGTGATTTTGAGCAAAATATTTGTGGCATTTCACAATTTTCTCTATTTTTAAAACTGTCCCTCCCAGCAGCTACAGAATAAAAAATACCCAAAATTTCCCCAATTTCACAGTAGAAATAGAAATTGGTTTACTCAATTGTTACTATAATAATCCTCAACAGGCAACTGGTCACCACTTGAAGTACTTAAGAGCTGATTCCAAAGTGCTGACAGCTGCCCTCTTCCTATGGTAACATGACCGCATGCTGAGACCTTGGTAACCTGTCTGCACTTACTGCCATTTGCAGCATCTCGCAGTCACGTGAACACATTTTATGACATTTTTGCTAAAACCTGGCATTTACTTCTAGTTTTCAGCAAAAACACCCATAGTGAACAATGGTCTCGCTTTACACTGCTGTGTTCACTTAATGACTGCCACTGCTTAAAGACTGTCACAAAAAAGGTCGTGAAATTGGATCAGTCACATAGGTGACCCACTTTATGGCATCACGACTTAAGACAATAATATGTAGACTCCATTAAGGTCATAAGTCAAGGACTATGTGTACTTTGACTAAGTTCACAGCCTTTACTTCATGGAATAAAAGCTACATTTTCAAACATTATGCTTGCATGAAATTGAATAGAATCCATATAATTTTTAGAGTTCTTTGAATAGGCATGTATTCAATTCATTAATTTAATTCAACGCTTTGAGTCAATTACATTTTTTCTAGTGACATCTGATTATCTTCATCCAAATTTGGAAAGGTGATTTAGTTTGGGGATTTAATCAAATTGCTTTCAAACTGCAAATCAAATCTTTGTACTATAAGCCGTCTGCACATTTCGGATAAAATATACTTACCATGTTTTTCTAAATGCTGACAGCAGCTATCTATAAGCCGAGGAACTTGCCTGTAAATAGGATTGAGGCTTAGCTTTTTGTCCCTGGATTTTTCTTTCTTGTTCTGTGCTTCAGCAGGCAAGGATAACTGTAGAGCTTCTAGTAATCGAGACTGACTATCATCAAGATCGGTAATAGAATCCACTGACATTGCACCCTACAATATACAAACATGCATTTGGTAAAGATGGAAGAAAGACACTTCTCTCTTTAATCCATCATAAAACAAAATATTAACCTATACCAGAAGGTTAATGGGGCAGAAATCTATTGTAAACTCCCCTTTAAGTGACAACTGATTATTATAGCTGTCACTAGGTAGCTCAAGACTAGCCATATTACATGTTACTTGTTGCATGCCTGTCCAAGCTGAGGTAATTCTGAGGCTGCTGTTATTTGTTGCACTCCCATTCATCAGTTACTTCAGCTCATTCACTTTGTTCCTATTCCCAGTCAAAATGGAGGTAATTGCCGCCATACACAGCAACATTTGTATTTTCACCTGAAGATTGCTGCTCACCAGACATGGCAAATTGCAAGCATTTTGCTGAAGAAGATGAAGAAAGAACAGTAACTTCTCTCCAAAGGTAATCCCCCTTTCTACACAACTTTGTTTTGTAATGGCTTCTTGCCCAACCACTACTGTAAATTCTTTATTAGTAACATCTACTAGGTGTTAGTATCATTATTAGTTAATTTCTTCTGGCACGTATTTGAGGCAAATAACAAAAAATTAAACAATTTATACAGAGTTTGAAATACAGATTAAACATTACAGATTAAATATAGATAAACATTAAAATAATATGTTGAAAATGTGCATTAAGAGCTATATTATGAGCTTGTGCATTTCTACTCTCAAATAGTTTAATTTTATCTATCTTTACTCAACTGTTTATTCTTCAGTAATTATAAGACTGCATTTTTCTGTGAATCCTAATTGCTTGATGAGAAATGTATCAGTGTGTATGTCATGGTTCCGATAGATGAGGCCAATTAAAAGAACATACAGAACATACAAAGGTAGAACCCAAGACTAAATTCCCCTCCCCTTGGTTATAAAGTTGCAAGTTGCAATTCCCACCCCAATTTGCTGTCATAAATCACATTCACCAATTGTTAGAAAACACGGGTACTCCTCCCAGCTGCTCCAGCCCACCAAAATGTTATCAGCAATGACCTTGGTTCCCATACATTTGAATTGTTTTGGCAAACTGAGAACTATGCCCCCCTCCTTCTTCTAAACTAAATATGTGGCAACAAAGACAAAATGAAAATGGCTTCAGTTCGGTTTGTCACAGCGTTGACAGTGTATGTGTGTCTGCAAATTTATACCTCTGCCAAATGTTCTGCTCTGATCATAACCTGTAATGGAATATAGGCCTCTGAGATTCTTGAGGTAGTAGAAAAAAATCTTACTCTTGTGTAAATATAAATGAAACTAAGTAAGTCAGTCAGTCAGTCAGTCAGTCAGTCAGTCAGTCAGTCAGTCAGTCAGTCAGTCAGTCAGTCAGTCAATAAATAAATAAATAAATAAATAAATAAATAAATAAATAAATAAATAAATAAATAAATAAATGCAGATATGTGTATGCTGAAGCAACTTGAAGTATAGAACAGGTAAAACAACTGTTTTGGTGAGAAATCCTTTTAACTTTTGTTCAGTGTTTACTGACAAAAGAAGAGATTTGCCATGGGGAAAAAATTCATTTGGGCATATTTTTGTCACATTATGGTGACAAAATTTGATGTCAAAATTTCTTGTTAATTGTTTTTATGAATAGAATGAAAATTACTTAATTTAATTTTAACTGATTGTTGGACACTATTACTTGCATATCATTTAAATTGTCATGGAGATGGTCCTATAATTATGAGGAGCTGAGCTTGCAGGATTTCATGGGTGATGACTTGTATCGTAAACTGGATTTGGAGGCAAACCAATGAACAGTAAGGTGATCTTAGTATGTGTCCACATTATAATTCTCCTACCAACAATTAGCAAGAAGGCCATTGTATTTTGGATCAACTGTAGCTTCCAAGTGACCTCCAATATAGAATGCATTGCAATGGTTTATTTGCAAGGTGATGAGGGCATGAATCATTGTTGTCAAGTAATTCCAGCCCAAAAAAGGCCATTTTTGATAATCAACAAATAGCATCTCAGTCTTACAGGGATTTGACTTTGTTTTGATCCAGCCTCTACACACTAGTTCAGAACTTAACAAAATTGATGGTCTAGTTTTTGATGGCAATATACAACTGTGCATCATCACATACTGGTGATATTGCAACCAAGACCCCCCCCCCCATCAATGGCTTCATGCAGATATTAAACAGCACACAGAACCCCACTCTGGAGTGACCATGGGCATGGCTGTTCAACCTCCAATACTCTGCCTATAACTGTAATTGCCCAGAAAGATACTGTAGCTGATTATGCATCTTTGCTAATTTGAACAAAAGTAATAGAAATGTTGTATGATATTCAGTTTTCCTTGGTCTTCATATCCCTCATATAGCAGCAATTAAAAAAGTATATATAGTTGGTACTTGAAACAATGAAGCTTTACTTTTATTCAAAAAGACTTCTGAGGTACAAAATATAGCATATAATATGAAACAGCTCTCTTACTATCTATAAAAGTAACTAAATAAGCAATATTTTCTTCTATAGTATTATTAAAGGCAATATGGGTCCCAAAATACATAATCTCTACAAGTCCATAAGCTAAATACTATAATTATTACATCCCTCAGTTATCAAAAACTCCTTAGCTACAGTCTTCAAAAGCGGCATCAAGTACTCTTGCCATCTTCTCTTTAAAGAAATAGTATTACAGATAGTTGAGTTACAAACACTCATTCAGAAACCAAACTTACAGCAGCATTGAATAAATAGTGCTTATGCCCAGTCCCCAAGTTACAGTCATGAGTGTCAGTTTCCATATGTGACCTGAGAAAGAAGGCCTTGAGAGGCCAGCAGCTGCCTTGTGAACGGCCTTGGCAGACATGTCTCATCAGTAGTAGGAGCAAGAAGAAGATGATACTATATTTATACTATAAATATATTTGAGGCTGCGATGAGGTGAAGAAATCTCTCTCTCTCTCTCTCTCTCTCTCTCTCTCTCTCTCTCTCTCTCTCTCTCTCTCTGTGTGTGTGTGTGTGTGTGTGTGTGTGTGTGTGTGTGTGAGAGAGAGAGAGAGAGGAGTTTGTCTTTTAGTAATTTGAAATACTAACTGGAGACTGACTGGGGAAAAGAAAAGTTTCCAAAGAATCCTTATGTCCCTTGAGATCCTCACAAGAGATTTGTGCCCATTTTGTTCTCTCCCACGAACAGCTGGGAAAAGCAATGACCATTAAAATCATCATTTCTATCAGGGCTGACTTTAATTTTAGTATAAACTAACAAATCAGAAACTCCAAAGGAAAGTCCCACAATACTTGCAGTAACCACTAAGCAATGCATAGGCACTTACTCTTCTCCGTGCCCTGGGGGCTGGTTCAGGTGTATTGGGTGAAGTAGATTCATTTGGTGTTTCCGAGGTGGAACTAAGAGATGAATTACTGCTTGAGAGTTCTTTGTTCTGTCTTTTATTCCCAAAAGGTAAAAGTGATGTTACAAATTCTGAAACATCTCTCTGCTCTTCTCTATGAATATCTTGCTTCAGTTTGTATACCCGATCATTTGCTATTACTTGTGATAAAGGCATTCCAAAAGCCTGGGGTATGAATTCTGAAAAACAAACAAAACCTTATGTATCAAAGGCTAATAACTGTAGCAGTCAACATTTTGAAAATGGATTTAATAAATCCTCAGCTAATAGATTTTGTGAGCATCTTTTAACATTGGTTGCTTAGTTAAAAATCAGCCTTCCCAACTGATTTTTTTTAAATACACTTGATTGCAGTTTCTGTGCTTCTCAGCAATTCTTAATGGAAAATAAGGATTTAGAGTAGGAAAAGATAAAAAAGCACATAAAAATACACAATAAAGGTATACTGTTATGTTTACTTTTGGGAATTCCTGAACTTCCAAATATTTTTCAGTGGTTTTTTAAAAAGACAACAAAATAAAGATGGAAGCCAGGTAAAATCATGGGTAAACATCTGCCATAACCAAAAAAGAAGTGTATATTTTTAGATCATGGTTTAGGATTTCTTTTGACTAATAGTAAAGTAATGTAGTTAAAATGCTATTATAAAGAGACATTCTTAAAGTTTAAAGAGCAGCAAAATATGGAACAACAAATGCTTGAAACACTGTAATTTCCAAGAAATGAGGAACATCCATTTTAAGATTATCTTCTCTCGTTTATTTACGCAGTTGCATACTAACATCACTAGAGGAATTATTATTGGAACAAGTTAAACATAAACAATAAAAATATGTTATATTAACATAGAACAAGAAGAAAGTAAACATGGGAGAAGAACATATCAGGTTTGGGGGCTATAATACATGAAAAATCAATTATTTATTCACAGCAGTGCACCTTTTCTTGGAAATAATCAGCAATGGAATGAGGTATGGAATTCTAGCATGTCATTAGGTATAATAAAAGCAGCCACTAGAGGATTCATAGCAATAGTCAAATTACATAGTTACTATACTAGAACAATCAAGGGTATTATTTGCATGTCTTTTCCAAGTAGAAAGGCAATTTACACTGGAACAAATTATTTCTCTCTTTAATTTACTGTAAAAAATCCTGTTTCATTATACTAATTCATTACATTCCAGTAGAATCTAATTTTTATCAGAGAATAAGCGTGTTGTGAGAAATAGCATGAAAGCAATTAAGCAATAACATGACTTGCATCCTATTGATTATAGGAAAGGTAGAGAAGGAAACTAGAGGGCCAGTCATATGGGAATTAATTCTTACTCACAGGGATAAAATTATAGAAGGGGTTGAAGAACCTTGGGAGAGAGTGACCGTGCAATATTGCAATTCAACATAAATAGAATAGAATAGAATAGAATAGAACTGGAAGGGACCTTGGAGGTCTTCTAGTACAGCCCTCTACTTAAGCAGGAGAACCTATACCATTTCAGACAAGTGACTGTCTAGCGCAGGGGTGTCAAACTGCCGGCCCGCGGGCCGGACGCATCATCCCAAAACCGCGCCCACCCCATTGCCGGCAATGGAGAAAAAGCTCTGATACATCGCGCGATGTCACGTGACGTCGCAAGTTTGACATGCCTGGTCTAGCGCCTCTTTTTAAAAATCTCCAGTGATGGAGTGCCCACGATTTCTAGGGGTAAGCTATTTCACTGATTAATTGTCCTCATTGTCAGGAAGTTTCTCCTTAATTCCAAGCTGCTTCTCTCTTTGATCAGTTTCCCACCATTGTTTCTTGTCCTGCCCTCTGGTGCTTTGGTGAATAACGTGACCCCCTCTTCTTGTGGCAGCCCCTCAAATACTAGAACACTGCTATCATGTCTCCCCTATTTTTTCTTTTCTCTAGACTAGCCAAATCCAAGTCCTGCAGTAATGCAAGCACGAGGAATAGAACAAAGTCAAACTAGAGTCTTGGACTTCAAGACAGCTGCTATCAATTAACTTAGAGAGAACTTGAGAAGAATTCCTTAGATGAGAATCTTCAATGGGAAAATAACCCAAGAAGCTTGGGAAACTTTGAAAAGCAAGATTATAAGAGCCCAGTCTAGCACAATTCCAATGAAGAAGAAAAATAAGAGATCTCAAAATAAACCAGCATGGCTACACAAAGAACTCTCTGTTAAACTGAAAGACAAAAAGGACAAGTATAAAAAGTGGAAAGAGGGGCACATAATTAAGGCAGAATATCAGCATATAGCCTGAACCTGAAAAAATGAAATCAGGAAAGCTAAGGCTCAAAATGAATTAAGGCTGGTGACAAATGTCAAAAATAACAACAACAAAAGCTTCTTTCAACATGTTAAAAAAAGTCAAGGAAATGATTGGGCCATAATGGGAGAAAATGGCAAGAAGGTAACAGCAGCAGGGAGAAAGTAGAACTGCTTAACTCATTGTTTGCATCTGTCTTTCTATTTTTACCCAAGAGCAAAAAAAAAAAAAAAAGAAGTACCTGGCTCAATGGTATTAACTGTGAGAAGGATCTTGGAGTATTAGTGGACGATCACTTAAATATGTGTTGCAGTTGCCAAAAAAGCCAAAGCAGTCCAAGCTGCATTAACAGAGGAATAGAATCATGATCAAGTGTTACAACCACTTTATAATGCCTTGGTAAGACCATACTTGGAACACTGCATCTAGTTCTGCTCATCATGTTATAAAAAAGATGTTGAGTCTCTAGAAACTGCAGAGAAGAGCAACAATGATGATTAGGGGACTGGAGGCTAAAATATATGAAGAACGGTTGCAGGAATTGGGTATGTCTAGTTTAATGAAAAGAAGGAGTAGCGGTGACATGATAGCAGTGTTCCAATATCTAAGGGGCTGCCACAAAGAAGAGGGGGTCAACCTATTCTCCAAAGCAGCTGAAGGTAGAACAAGAAGCAATGAATGAAAACTAATCAAGGAGAGACAGAAACCTAGAACTAAGGGGGAATTTCCTGACGGTTAGAACAATTAATCAGTGGGGTGATTTGCCTCCAGAAGTTGTGGGTGCTGCAACACTGGAGGTTTTTAAGAAGAGATTGGAGAGCATTTGTCTGAAATTGTATAGGGTTTCCTGCCTGAGCACGGGGTTGGACTAGAACAGGGCTTTTCAACCTTTTCACCCATTGTACCACTTTTAGGATATGGTAATATCCGAGTACCACCAGTCGCCTAGCAAGGTATCAAAAACTTGATGACCCCCCCCACCCAAAAGGAAAAAAGTGATGAAGTACAGGTAGTCCTCGACTTACAACAGTTCGCTTAGTGACTGTTCGAAGTTACAATGGCACTGAAAAAATTGCCCCCCAAGCCACAGTCGAGCAAGACACCTGCCTGCCCACCCGGCGGTGCTCCTCCTCCTGTCCGAGGTTTTCATTGTTGTGAGCATTTCCGTTGAGGATTGGCAGCAGGGGTAGGGTGGGGGGTGTTTGGTTTTTATTCCCCATATCTGCTGGGTGGTTGCAGCAGGTTTTGGTCACTTCACATGACCCTGGGACACTGTGACCGTCATAAATATGAATCAGTTGCCAAGCATCTGAATGTAAATCACAAGACCCTGGAGATGCTGCAACATTCCAGCTGATCGGCACTTCTTCTGGCTCAGCAGAAGCGCCAGGATCAGCGCCGAGCTCCAGCTGGAGTCTGGCGCTGATCCTGGCACTTCTGCTGAGCCTTGATAGCCCTGCAGCTCCAGCCATCTCTCGCTCAGGCTTGTGCGGTGCTGCCACCGGTTCAGCTCATTCCCCTCCCCCACTACCACTTTTCTAGGATGGTCGCGTACCACCTGCCAGGTGCCAATGTACCACAGGTGGTACCCGTACCACTGGTTGAAAAGCCCTGGACTAGAAGACCTCCAAGACCCTATTAGAGGGAAGAAACATAGCCAAGTCACAGCAGCTTTGATGGTTGTAGTCTTGTTATTTTCAGGAAGGCCTTGGAAACATACTTTTTCCCTTACTTTTCTCACCATTGAACTACATTTTATTGGATAGTCTACCAAGATCCTTCTGAATCTTGAGTCTATCTTCCAGAGTATTAGTAATTCCCCCATCCCCCCCCCCCAAGCTTGGTCTCATCTGCAGTGCCCCTTCACTCATCTAGGTCATTGATGAAGATGTTGAACAGCATAAGGCCCAAGACAGAACCCTGATGTACCCCACTACATGCTTCCATCCACATTGATATAGAATATCTTATATAAAGAAGTTAGGATCTTAATCAGGGTAAGATACTGGGATGATATGATGCCTGTATGAAAAATGTGCATAAGTTGTCAACTGATTAATTAAAGTGTTGTTATTAATCCTTAAAGCTCTAAACCTCTTGTAATCTCACTGAGAATTGCCTATCCCACTATATATCTGCCTGGGTAGTTAATATCTGAAGAACAGCCTTGCAGAAGTGCCCCCTTGTAAAAGTTCATAAGAAAGTAACTTCTCTGGCTTAATTCTTTGTCAGCTGCAAAAAATAAGAAAAGAGTTTCTTGCTTATCTGGCTAAAATGTTTAACTAATTTCAGCATTATTTTTAATTTATATTCTTTTTTCACATTTTCTTTAGTTTTGTTACAATAGCTGCTTTAAATATCTGATTAAATAGAAAGGTGGGATGAAACTGAATGAATGAGTACATCTAAGTCAGAGTCTGACTGAAGCTGCCAAAATATGACAGACTTATTTCAGCGATATAGCAGACTCTAAATAGCAATTCAGTGTATGCCTTGTTTACATATAAAAATTGGGCTTGTTTAAAACTCCAAATGCATAATTCTTTGCTCAGTTATGAATGACAGACTTAAATAATACTAATAAATATCTATAAAAATATAAAATATAATAACAATTGTTCTAAGATCAGTGATAGTAGTTGGCCTGCTCTTAGGTTGAAATGTTATTTTTGCTGATCTGATAATGAGATTGGTCTTGCCTTCCGAAACTGAATTAATCAAAAGGTTATTCTCAGTGGTATGCAAAATCTTTTGAATTGGAAATGTTTTATGCCAGAAATATTCCAATATTCCAAACTATTTCAATCTCCAGGAATCTCATTTCAAGCTTAAAACAGTCCATCTGAGCCCAAATTAATTATGCTGAACTCAAATTAGACCCATTTTGAACTTGTGAAATGAC